AACCCCAAAACCCCAAAACCCCAAAACCCCAAAACCCCAAAACCCCTTTTAAAAAATCAAAATTTGAACTTAATTATCTTACTTGAGACTCCTAAAAATCAGGAATTTCTAAAATTTGCTTTTGAATTGACAAAATCTCATCAATTCTCTTCTGCTCAGCTTTGATATTCCGGTCAACAGAAAATCTGAGGATATTTCCTGGCCCGATATCACTGGGAAGGAGTCACAGAGGAATCTCGATCAGGTTATGGTCCTTAGAGATAAGGATTGCTGACCCATCCTCTATCCGACCGACTGTGTAGTTCAGCTCGAATTTGTTGCTTCCTTCAGTTATGTTCTTATTCTCTTCATCCTCTTCTTCCTCTTCGTCTGGGTTGAGCTCGTAGATACGGTTTTGCTGAGCCATTTTGGCGATATCTTCAATTTCATCTTCCTCATCTTTTTCTTCATCAGAACGCTCATGTTCATCCTCTTGCATTGTCTTTTGAGCTTCTTCCAGTAATTCCTCTGCTTCGCGGGCTTGCCTCTCGACGAGGTCATCATCTATCTTGCTTTCCTCTGTTTGCTCAACTTCTTCAGTGTATTGGTCTTGCTCCTCAAAGCTGGGCTGCTGATCTTGATTATTGAATTTTGATGTTTTGTTGAACTCTTCCTTATTTTGCATGAACTGCTGCATTAAATTATTAGAAATCTTAGAATCTCCTTCATCATGTTCAATTTCTTGATGGACAGGCTCATGATCCTGATGCTCCCCACTTGATTGAGGATCTGGGTCACCGAAACTTTTGTATCTATGAGGTTGGGGTTCCTCTTCAGCCTCTTCTTCATACTCCTCCTCTTCGAATTCCTCCTCGAATTCTTCATTTTCAGTACCTTTACGATAATCTGGCTCTTGTTGTGAATACTGGTTTGGATCTGTTCCTTCAACTGATCCATCTCCTTTAGCTATCTGTTCAGGTTTGCTATTGACTTCAGGATGCTCAATGATCTCTATTTCGAGATTCTTCTTCTTAGGCATCGAAATATTCTCTTCAGGATTGGTTGGGTCATTATCCTCAGAATAAGATTCTAGATGGTCATCGTATTCCTCTCCTTCCTCAAATTGCTGATGGATATTCTTCCTCTTAATCTCTGGCTTTTGAGAATAGTCTTTATCCATTTATAAGATTATATAAATCAATTTATTAAATTGAAATAGGGGTTTTGGGGTTTTGGGGTTTTGGGGTTTTGGGG